AATATGAGTACATATTAATTACCTAATTTGCATAATTAATTAATTTTCAGCTTTTGATATATCAAGTAGTAATCATCATATTTCAATGAGACTTGCTACATAGATCTTCTAGGATTATGCAGAGACCTGATTAGTTTTAATTGGATATTAATTACTTAATTTGCATAATGTCCACTGATATATAAAGAACCACAAATTGGATTTTAATGAAACTTTTAAAGAGAACTATGCAGAAACCAAATTAGTTTTTGGTAAATAATTATGCTTATTAATCACCTAATTAATATAATTAATTAACACTGATATCTCAATTACTGATCATCACATTTGAATAAAATTTGGTGCATAAATGCTCTAGGACAATAGACAGGCCTGATTAATTTTGGGTTAAAATTTGTTCATAATAATTCTCTAATTAGCATAATAATTCATAATTTTTTCGTTCTGTTCTGTTCATATTGGTTACCTGATTTACATAATTAGTTTTCAGCTTTTCCATCAATATCTTATGTACAAGTAATTTTGAATTAATTTTTAATGTGTCTTCAATACTCTCAGCACACGGGAGTTCTTTCTAAGCTTTCTTTGATTTCAGTTCAGATTCAAAATATCTGACTGGTGTTAGTTTTACTGAATGCTGTTCTGGAACCACATCTCTGTCATGCTCCAAACATTCATGTTTAGATTTTCTTTAATTTTTGAACTTTTAATTACCAGTACTTGTGTTTCTTTCAATTTTCAGAGTCTTCTCAGCCACGATGTATTCCATAAATCACTTTTTGCTTGTTGTCAAGAAGTAGTGATTTTTTCCTATAATTCTCAACGGTAAGTTAGATGATCAATGTATGGGTGCACTTCCAAGATAAAATTAGTTTCATTTGTATTAATTACTGATAATGTTCAATGTTCACGATTTGTTAATTTCTGAGGATAAGATTTTAAGTCACCATAACTCTCTGTTTTGAAGATTCCTAAGGAAATCTTCATGGCTAAAACATTGCTTGGCTTCATTTTTCTCCTGCGAAATTAAAACTTTTTACAGTGTTCTCCGGTTGTCATGTGACATTCTCATTGCCAAGTTCTTTTCCAGTCATACTTTTGACAAAATCTCCTACACAGTTGCTGTACTTTGTCTAGGAATATCTCATTTCTAAAAAACCTGATATTCTCAGCCATGCAAGTAAACGTACTGTAAAATTGCTTTATTTTAGTGAGAAAAAAATTGGTGATTCAGGCAAACCACACAATTTTTTAGCCATGAACTGTTTAGCTCCGCTGTTGACTTTGTCGAGCGGAGCTTATCATATGAGTGATTGTCCGTCGTCGTCCATGTCAACTTTTTACTTTTTCGACTTTTTCTTGAAAACTACAAGCCTGAATGCTTTGATACTTTGTGTATATGAACCTTGGGTAGACCTCTCTTAGATTTGTTCATTTCATGATGATATCTTCAATTATCTAATTTTGATTTTTAATATTTTTTGTGGAAAGTGATATTTTCGACTTCTTGTTGAAAAAAACAAGTCTGATTGCTTTGATACTATACATATTGTTCATTTTCTAATGATATCTGCAGTTCTTTAAGTGAAATGTGCATTGCTAACAGCGGAGCTATCTCAGCTGAGAGGCTGCTTGTTATTGAATCGAGACAATGAGTCACAGTGACTATCACAAAATATCATTCATCACCAATACTGCCTGATTCATCTATAAAGCTTCGTATGACAAGAATTCATATTTCCTTCAAATTTCAGAACATTCCCCTGGGTAATAGATATCTACCACCTTGCGCCATATCATTTCTATAAAGTTATAGAATTATTAATTCGAGCCGAAGATGGTCTGTCAAGAGATGTTGTGAAACACCTCAACCACGTAAGTTCAATACAAAATTTGGGAAATGTTAGTTAGTTAGAAATCTACTTTAAAAATGAAATCGACGACGTCTTAATGAATTAGTAATTGAAGATTTATTAGGAAATTGTAATTTTGATTTCTTTGTAGATAGAGGAACAAATATTAGAGAGCCTTGCCTGGAAATACGACTCGCCGCTTTGGGAAGCAATGAGAGAGTCAGGTTTGGGTGTACCCACGTGTGAAGAAGTGACCCTCCCCCACCAGACTGATAATGGTACAACCCAGTCACAGCCATCCCAGCAAGCATCACAAGTGATGGGATCACCACTGATGCATCCCAGGGTGAAGAGGCTTGCAACCATGGAACCAGTTCGTAGAGGTGAAAACAGTTCATATTTCTCTCTTGACTGCAACTGTAACCCTTACCAGTAGTGTTATGTACAAACGTTGCCTGTGTTTGTAATGGCTTGGTTCACAATTCAACGGTTCAGTCCAAAACAGGCTCTTTCACCTCGTTGTGTCTGTCAATGTCTGTCTGTACCTGCATCTCAGACATGCCAGGACATTCAAAAACCATACCGTAAAAACTCCAAAATTTCGACCCCTCTAAAAATTCGGTCGTCTGAATTATTTGGCGGGTTTCGGTGTTTTATTTGCCTCCAAATTTTCGACTCCACTAAGAATTGCCGACTCATTCTTATTCGAAAATTGCGACCAGTTTTGGTTTTTCCCCAAACGAGAAAAAAAACAAAAACGATGTGAGCGTTCAAACGGCCTTTCCCCAAAGGCATGAATCCGGGTTTCTGATTGACTGAGAGATTTTTATTTTATTGGTAACGAAAATATATTCTAAATAAACAAAGTTTCAAATAAAAACGAACACAAAAATCTCGGCATGCTGCGTTTCTGAATTGTTGATTATTACTCAGTAGTGATTATAATAATGTACACAAAATAAATTCGTTGAATTGTTATGAAATACAAATAAAAGTCAACTTAGTTTCGTCGTAAGTGAATGATTCCGGTCTCGTATAAACGTTTGATGCTGTAGGATATCCGCCATGTTCTCTTAGGTCAAATCGCTAATTAACCAATCAAAAAGCTGGATGATGCCAACGTGTTCAAATTACCATAGCTTATTTAAATATGTTAATGTTATTGAACGCAATGCGGAAGAGATTGATGTTGTAGTACGATCTTTTGGCTTGGATTTTGATGCGAAAACGGCATGATTTTTTTTTAAATCAAAAAATTAGTTGTTTTTAAAAAATAAACTTGGCATCTGAATAATAATTCAACATTGTTCACAGTGATAACAGCTCATTCTCGAAACGAAGATTACCTGCTCACACTAGTCACGATAAAAACCATACATGTGTACTCTTGAATAGACGTCAATGACTATGGTAAAACTTAGACTCTATTTTAGCCGGCAGGTATGATTGAAATGTCCGAAAAATGACGCCAAAATACACCTTAAAAGTCCCATTTTATTTTTTTAATCCAAGGGTGAATTTACGGCAGAATCTGGTCTCTCAAATAAGGGACACGTGAGCTTTGATTCTAACCGGATACATTGCACTGGGTCGGGGAGATAGTTTGCTAAACTTCCATGTATCTTTTGTCCAATGGG